GATGTGGGGCTCGATCCCAGGACTCCGGGATCATGACCTGAGCTGAAGGCAGTCGCTCAACCGACTGAGCCACCCAGGCGCCCCCCCTATTCAACTTCTTTTTAAAAAAAGGACAAAATGGAGGTAAAGTATATTTTATACAATGAGAAATAAATATTTCAAGTAGCATATAATTTACACAAAGCTGAATTTGGAAAATATAAGTGCTCTTACCCATACATTTAAAAAGACTTTATGTAAACCCCACATTAGAAATACCTAGTAGTTACTGAGAATAGCACAGAGATTATAATATAAAAAGCATTTTGGGGGATTGTCTTGTGCTTTGTTAGGAAAAAAAAAGTTCAGGTTATTTTTTTGAAGAGTTACTTAGAAAGATACAGAGGAAAGCCACAGAAAAAGATAGCAGAGTGATATCCATCAGGCAGATTTTGAATACTCCTTCACTGTGAGTTCTTCTTATTTAAAATTATTTTCTGTATCACCCAGTTTCCATAGGTGAGCCTTCTTCACATTTGTATCAAAACCAATGCTGACAGTTATTTTGGTTTCACTCTCCTTTTGGCATCTTTATGTTTCTTCCGGCAGTCCTATAAAAACATATCAAGCCTTTGTTAAAAATAAATGTAAATCATTTTCAAGATGTTCTGTAACTATATAGTAAAATTTAGATTATTCAATGTCAGGATTATGGAAACCATTATGGGAGTTGTCTATAATTGAAACTGTATTTTAGTCTTCCAAAAATCTCATGATTTACTGTTACTTAACAAGCATGGCTGGAACTTGGGCCCCTAAGTCGGCTGTTCTGCAGACTGCTAACCTGCACCAGGTGTAGCCTGACCTAAACAATGCCTCTCCCTGCACTGTGAGCATTTAAATCATGGTCTCAGGTGTCATCCTTTGTGTCTTCAGGTTCATACCTTACTCTCACTCTCTTACACCAGACAAATATTAACACAAAAATAGCACGGCATCTATTTTAGGAGACAATCAATATGGAGATACAGTTACTCACCATCCGCAAGTTGTTTGTTCTGGCCTCCCAAGAATTCCTGCTAATATTATTCCCCACTCCTCTCCAGAATAAATCAGAACCTACTAGGGGAACATAAAAAAAAAAAGACAAGGCAGGAGATTAATGCCTTTAAAACAGATGGTGTGTTGGGGCGCCTGGGTGACTCAGTCGGTTAAGCATCTGCCTTCGGCTCAGGTCACGATCCCAGGGTCCTCGGATTGAGCCCTACATCGGGCTCCCTGCTCGGCAGGAAGTCTGCTTCTCCCTCTCCCACTCCCCCTGCTTGTGTTCCCTCTCTCGCTGTCTCTCTCTCTCTCTGTCAAAAATAAATAAAATCTTTAAAAAAAAAAAAAGAAAATGTAGCACTGCTAGGATTTTACTGTTTATGTATCATTTACCATTATGTGTCTTGGTTTCTGTTTGTGCCAGGCTTTAAAAAAAGAGTTCA